CTACATAGAATCTCAAGAAAGAATGATCGTAGATTCTCAAGAAAGTATAGGTGTAGAATTTCAAGACAGTATGGGTGTAGAATTTCAAGAAAGTATAGATGCAGGATTTTATGAAAGTGTAAATATAGAATTTCAAGACGGTATGAGTGTAGAATTTTAAGAAGGTATAGGTGTAGAATTTCAAGGAAGTATAGGTGTAGAATTTCAAGGAAGTATAGGTATAGAATTTCAAAATGGTATAGGTGTAGAATTTCAAGAAAGAATAGGTGTAGAATTTCAAGATGATATGAGTATAAAATCTCAAGAAAGTATAGGTGTAGAATTTCAAGACAGTGTGGGTGTAAAAACTCAAGAAAGTATTGATATAGAACCTGAATTAGAAGAAGAAACTGTTCATATTAATACTGACGACACATTTATTTCATGAGATATAACTGAAATTCGAATTAAACAATATGCAAGATCAGCTGGAGTTTGTATATACCGTAAACGAGTCAAAGTTGATAAAGATGAAATAATTCGTCAACAAATGTTTGAATGCAGTTTTGCTAGGAAGACCATTTCCAATCAAATAATTGATCTAACCAACTAGTGTTAGCGTCTCTCTAGAAAGGTTGGTTGTTCATAGCACATAAATTTAAACCAGCTAAAGGCTTTTCAAAAGTAGGTATAACAAGTATTGTTGAAGAGCACAGTTATACCATGGTATCCGATTTAAGTTTATATGCACCTAGCTACTGCAGATTATCAGATGATATAATGGATCAGATTAAGTTTTACGTAACTAAAGGCAACTTGGGATCAAAACAAATATACCCTTTAATAACTACAAGTTTTTCAGATCAGTTGATCTGTAAGTGAGATATGTATAATGCTATTTATAGTTTTAAAACACCTCTTACAAAATGTCAAGGAGATGCACAAAATATGATTAATAAATTGCTTGACTTACAAGATCAGGAAACAGGTTGGATAATTAAAACAAGACTTGATCCCTTTGATAATCAGCTTACGGGGTTTTTCTGGATATCACCTAGTCAACAACAGTGTCTTTTACATTATAATGATGTAATACAAATGGATAATACAAGTCAAACAAACTAGTTTCATATGTATTTGACCCTTCTAGTTGTTATTGATAATAATACTAAAAGTCAACTTGTCACTTAATGTTTATCGGATGATGAAACAACCAAAAGTTATAAATGGTTTTTTAATTGTATTCTTCAAATGACAAATAGTGTCCCACTTATCTGTATATTTTTTGACGCTGATCTAGCTTTAATGAATGCCATAGCATTAAAAATGCCTACTATTCATCATTTCTTTTGCATTTTTCACATACAAGAGAATTTACGCAAGAATTTACGAAGTAAATTGGGCAAACATTATGATCAATTTTATAAAGAGTTTCTTCATGCCTGAAATAGCTTATTCAAAAATAATTTTCATCGATGGTGAACATGTTTATTAGAAAAGTATTCTTAAGCTCAAGATTATCTTAAT